ACCATAATGGAAAAGAATATATGTGTGTGTGTGTGTGTGTGTGTGTGTGTGTGTATAAAATATATGTATAGCTATACTTTGCTGTACACCAGAAACTAACTTAACATTGTAAATCGACTATACTTCTATTAAAAAAAAGAGACACAAGAGATAACAAATGCTGGCAAGGATGTGGAGAAAAGGGAGCCCTTGTGTACTGTTGGTGGGAATGTAAGCTGGTACAGCCACTATGGAAAACAGTATGGAGGTTCCTCAAAAAATTAAAAATAGAACTACTATATGATCCAGCAATTCTACTTCTGGGTCTATATTCAAAGGAATCAATATCTTGAAGAGTTATGTATACTTTCACGTTCATTACAGCATTAATCAAAGTAGTCAAGATATGGAAACACCCTAAGTGTCTCTTAATGGATGAATAGCTAAATTACACACACACACACACACACACACACACACCCCACATACACACAGTGGAATATTATTCAGCCATTAAAAAAAGAAGAAAATCCTGATCAGTTGCAAAAACATGGATGAACCTAGAAGGCATTATGCAAAATGAAATAAACCAGATAGACAAATACTTCATGGTATCATTTATATGTGGAATCTAACAAAAAAAAATTGAACTCATAGAAACAGAGAGTAGAAACATTATTGCCAGGGCTGGGGGGGTGAAGAAATAGAGGTTGATAAAAGGGTACAAACTTTCAATTGTAAGATGAATAGTCTGAGCATCTAGTATATAACAATGTGACTATAGTTGATTACACTATTGTATAAATGATAATTGCTAAGAGAGTAGAACTTCAGTGTTCTCACCAAAACAAACAAACAAAAAAGTAAATATGTGAGGTGATAGCTGTGTTAATTAACTTGATGTGGGGAATCCTTTTGCAGTGTATACCTATATTTAGTCATTATGTTTTTCATTTTAAATATCTGACAACTTGGCAGTTATATGCTAATTAAGCTGAAAGAAATTCTACCTAATATTTAAGGATGAAATTTCACCACTTCTCTATAATATTTTCCAGGAAATAGAAGCAGAGAGAATACTACGTAACTCACTCTATGAGGCTAGCATTACAATAATACCAGCCAGACATCGCAGGAAAGGAAAGCTACAGACTAATATTTCTCATGAACTTAAATGCAGAATCCTCAACAAAATATTACGAAATTGAATCCAACAATGTATCAGAATTATACACTACCACCAAGTGGGTCTGCAAGACTTATTCAACATCAAAAATCAAGTATTGTAATTCATCACATTAATGGGCTAAAGAAGAACAATTATAGAATCATATTAATAGATATAGAAAATGCATTTGACAAAATCCAACACCTATTCATGATAAAAACCTCTCAGCTAAACATAATAGAAGGGGAATGCCCTCAACTTGGTAAAGAACATCTACAAAATACATCATACCTGATAGTGAGAAACTAGAAACTTTCCTGCTAAAATCATGAAAAAGGCCGGAATGTCCTTTTATACCACTCTTATTCAACATTAAGTAAGCCATGAAATAAAAGACTTACAGACTGGGAAGGCAGAGATAAAACTGACTTAGTTTACAGATGACATGATTGTCTAAGTAGAAAATATGAAAGAATTAACAATAACAAAAAGACTGCTGGAAGTAATAAATGAATGTAGCAAGGTTCAGCATATAAAATTGATATACAAAAGTTATTTGCTTTATCATTATACCAGTAACAAATAACTGGAATTTGTAATTAAAAACATAATGCTATTTACATTAACACTGAAAAAAGAAATAGATATAAACCTAACAAGATAAACAAGATCTATGTGAGAAAACCTGTAGAACTCTGATAAAAAGTAATCAAAGAAGTAAGATCTAAATAAGTGGAGATATGTTCCATATTCGTGGATAAGAAGATTCAATATTTTATCAAGATATCAGTTCTTTTCAACTTAATCTAAAGATTCAGTCCCAGTCCAAATTCCAGCAACTCATTTTGTGGATATTGACATATTGTTTCCGAAGTTTATGTGGAGAGGCAAAACACCCAGAATAGTCAACACAGTATTGACGGAGAAGAACAATGTTGGAGAACTGACACTACCTGACTTCAAGACTTACTATAAAGCTACAGTAATCAAGACAGTGTGGTATTGGAAAAAAAACAAACAAAAAAAAAACAAGATAATTAGGTCAAGGGAACAACATAGGAGCCCAGAAATAGACTCTCGCAAATATAGTCAACTGATTGTTGACATGCAGTAAACTCAGTTTAATGGAGAAATGAAAGTGTTTTCAATAAATGTTGAAACAACTCGACATCCACCTGCAAAAAAGAAAAAAAAATGAACCTAGACACAGATGTTACACTTTAAAATTGAGTTAAAAATTTGAGTTTGAGTTAAACTCAAAAAAAATTGACTTGAGTTAAAAATTAACTCAAAGGGGATCACAGACTTACATGTGAAACACAGCACTATAAAACTCTTAGAAGATAACATTAGGGAAAATGTTGGTAACCTTGGGTTTCACTATGACTTAAGGTACAGCAACCAGAACACAATCCATCAAAGAAAATACTGATAAGATGGACTTCATTAAAATGAAAAACTTCTGCTGTAGAAAAGACACTGTTAAAAGAATGAAAAGAAGGAGAAAATGTTTGTAAAATGCATATCTAATAAAGGACTTATATCCAAAATATACAAAGAATGGGTAAAAGTCAACAATAAGAAAATTAAAAAGTAGGTTTAATTGGGCTCACTTTAAAAATGGTCAAAAGATCCGAATAGATACCACACCAAAGGATGGAGAGGGAGTTATAAGTTAAAACAACAGTGATACCATTGTACAACTCTGAAAACTGAAAACACTGACAACAAATGCTGGAGCAATAGCAGCTCTCATTCATTGCTGGTGCTAATACAAAATGGTAATGTTATTTTGGAAGACAGTTTGTCAGTTTCTTACAAGGCTAAACAGAAATAGTCTTCCCATGCAATTCACCAGTCATGCATCTTGGTAACTATCCAAGTGAATTGAAATGTTAAGCTACACAAAAACTTACACATAAATCATTACAGTAGCATTATTCAAAATTGACTACACTCAGAAGCTATCAAGATGTCCTTCAATAGGTAAATGGATAAACGAACTATGATACATCCTGACAATGGAATATTATTCAGTGATGAAAAGGAATGAATATCAAGCCATAGAAAGACATGGAGGAAAATTAACTGCACATTGCTAAGTAAAATAAGCCAATCAGCTACATACATGGTTCCCAGTATAAGACATTGTAGAAAGGCAAAGTTCTGGAGAAAGTAAAACGATGGTTTGTTTCCAGGATTTGGGGGATGAGCAAGGGAGGGATGGATAGAGTAGAGTGGATTTTTATGACAAGAAAACTATTCTGTACGATTCTGTAATAGTGAATACATGACATTATCCATTTGTAAGTACCCATGGAACTGTACAACACAAATAGTAAACCCTGATGCAAACTGTGAACTTTAGTTAATAATAAAATATCAATATCAGTTCATCTATTGTAACAAATGTTCCACACTAATGCAAGGTTTTTTAAATAGGGGAAACAGTGGGAAGGGGATGGCGGGCAGTATCTGGAAATGCTCTGTACTTTCTGCTCAATTTTTCTTTAAGCCCAGATTTCTAGAAAATAATGTTTATTAATTAAAAGAAAACTTAGTAAAATGGGAATTCAAGGACAGTATTAAATTATCATACAAGTAAGTAAATATGTAAGCAGAGAAATGCTCTTGGAACTGTGTTCATATAAGTAAACATAGTCAATGCCTATATTATAGTATGTAAGTACCTGTAAAATTATGCAGCCATTAAAAAGGTGAAAATGGAGAGGCGGGTATGAGTTCGAGTAAAGTTTTGGGGGTAGAATTTATAGGACACTGTGACTATGAAGGAATGAATGGAATCTAGTATGTTGCTTAAATCTCTGCCTTGGCCTGAAATGAACAGGTGAAGAGTGGGAATTATGATTATTCTTGTCCTGGACTTACAGTATTCAAAGTTTCTGTGAGCCATAATGCAGGAAACAATCAGAAATATGGGTCTTTAATAAGAAAGGGTTTGGACAGATATAGTGGAAGCCATAGGAGGTGCTGAAATCATCCAGCGAAAGTGAGAGGGTTAGAGGCCAGAAAAGTAAAAGTAAAACTATGTTCTGAAAGCCAAAAGAGAACAGGGTAAGATGAGACTGAAAAATGGATATTGGATATGGTAGCCTGGCGGTCATGGATTACCCTGGACCAGTCCATGTTGATGGATTGTTAGATTGCAGCGTAGACTGTTTTCTCCTAAAAATGTTTTTCTTGGAGCTTTAGTCCCATAACACTTCTTAGAGCCTTTTATATGCCAGTGTAAATCAAGACTCTTTTAAACTGGGGTTCTCAGACTTAATTGATCTAGGAACTTTTTTGCTGTCATTTAAGCATTTTTCAGGACTGTTGTTAATTAGAGCATATTTTAGGAAATGTGTACCAATCTTTGAAGAAACTTGATTATAAAGAATCTAGAAAGGTAGGATAGTAACTAGTGGGAACATACAGCATTAAATTAGAAATTTCAGGATACTTAAAATAAGCAAAGTGAAGAGACTAGCAACTATAAGAGAGGTTGATATTGCAGGAAGGGAGGTTCTTGGAATCCCAGAAGAGAAGAAAGAGAATAGGATCCTGAGAATGAGTGTAGTTTTAAACACAGGTAAGAAGGTACAAAGGATGCAGATAGCTGAGGGCAGTGAAGGCAGTTTCTCTATTTGGTGAATCAATATAATAATTTGTCTTGCAGATACAAAATAGAAAGGACTCTACTGAGCTTTTGAAAACAAGAAAAATTAATGGAGACTGTGATATTACTTGATATTCTCAATTATGTTACTTAGTTTGAGATGTCTCCAAGCAGAGATTTCTGCTTTGCTTATACTGGAATTTTGAATGACTATTCAAATTTCCTATTTCACAGGATGCCAGACATGCAGCTGAAGAAGAGATTTATACCAACCTAAACCAGAAGATTGACCAGTTTCTACAGCTGGCTGACTATGACTGGATGACAGGAGATTTGGGCAACAAAGCTAGTGATTACCTAGTAGACCTCATTGCCTTTCTCCGTAACACCTTTGCTGTCTTCACACACCTTCCTGTAAGTGACCATTGCTTTTACTTTGTCCATCATATAGAAAAAAGGTTTCTTAAAATCTAGATTGGTAAAATATGTTTGTTTCTGCTTTAACTAGCCAGAAAGCTGTGGATATAAAAGCTCACACTATGATTATCATCCCTTAACAAGATTTAAAGACCTCTTTCTCATTTTTTCATTGACATTTGCATTTTGTTTATTCTGGAAATGGTTCCTAATATTATGTCTACTTATATCCCTCCTAACTTCAAGGTAATTAGTACAAACATATAATGAATGCCTTGGTAGAAGTAGAATAGAAAATTAGGAGTTAGAATTTTAGATATGTATTTTTTAATTCTAGAATGTCCATTTAAATTTTTTTATATCCTCAAATTTCTGGTGAAATTCTCCATCCTTTTTCCAATTTGTCTATCTTTTCTCTATTTTCTTGAGCATATTTATCACAGACTTTTAAAAATTGAAGTATAGTTGATTTACAATATTATATTAGGGACTTCCCTGGCAGTCCAGTGGTTACGACTCTGTGCTCCCAATTCAGGGGACATGGGTTTGATCCCTCGTCAGGGAACTAAAATCCCGAATACCTCACGGTGCAGCCAAAAAAAAAAGTTACAATATTATATTAGTTTCAGGTGTACAGCATAGTGATTCAGTATTTTTACAGATTTTACTCCAGTATAAGTTATTATGAGATAATGGCTATAATTCCATGTGCTATATGATATATCCTTGTTGCTTATCTATTTTATACATAGTAGTTTTGTATCTCTTAATCCCTTTCTCCTGTCTTGCCCCTCCCTCTTTCCCTCTTTTCTGTTGTTTCTTGATCTTTATTTTATTTATTTCCTCTCTAATCTTTATTATTTCCTTCCTTCTGATGACTTTGGCCTTTGTCTTTTTCTAATTTCTTTAAGTGGTTGGTTAGGTACTTTATTTGAGGTTTTACTTATTTCTTGAGGAAGGCCTGTATTGCTATAAACTTCCCCCTTAGAACTGCTTTTGCTGCATCTCATAGATTTTGGAGTGTTGTGTTTCCTTTTTCCTTTGTCTCAACGTATTTTCTGATTTCCTCTTTGATTTCTTCATTGACCAGGTGGTTTTTTAGTAGCATGTTGTTTAGTCTCCACATGTTCATGCTTTTCCCATTTTTCTTCCTGTAATTGAGTTCTAATTTTATACCATTGTAGTGGGGGAAAATGCTTGATATAATATCTATCTCCTTAAATTTGTTCAGCCTTATTTTGTGGCCCAGTGTGTGATCTGTCCTGGAGAATGTTCCATGTGCACTTGAAAGGAATGTGTATTTTGCTGTTTTTGGATGAAATGTCCTGTAGATATCTTTTAAGTTTAACTGTTCAAGTGTGTCATTTAAGACCACTGTTATATGATTGATTTTCTGTCTGGATCATATGTTCATCGATGTAAGTGAGGTATGAAAGTTCCCTATTGTTATGGTATTGTCATCAATTTCTCCCTCTATGTCTGTGAATATTTGCTTTATATATTTAGGTGCCCCTAATATTACATTGAGTGTAATATCCTTGTCTTGTATTGATCCCTTTATCATCATATAATGCCCTTCTTTGTCTTTTGTGATAGCCTTTGTTTGAAAGTCTATTTTGTCTGAAGCAAGTATTGTTACCCCGGCTTTCTTATTGTTCCCGTTTGCGTAAAATATCTTTTTTCATTTCCTCACCTTCTTTGTGTATGTGAGTTTCTTAGGTGACATATAGAAGGGTCTTGTTTTTTCATTTAATCAGCCACCCTGTGTCCTTTGAGGGAGCATTTGTCCATTGATATTTAAAGTAATTATTAATAGGTATGTACTTATTGCCATTTTGTCACTTATTTTCTGCTTGTTCATGTAGTTCTTCTCTGTTCATTTTTTCTTCTCTTTGTTTCTTCCCTTGTGGTTTTGTTGATTTTCTTTAGTAGTATATACCAGAGAACTCCTAGATGTTTTCATTTTTTACAATTTGCTCTTTTCTTTTGCTGTTCTGATTGGGTGATTTACATTATTCTACCAGATCACTTATGCATTCTTCTGTATCACTTAGTTTGCTATTCATTCCTCCTAGTGTGCTTTTAATTTCAGCTGTTGAATTCTTCATTTCTGATTGGGTCTTTTAAAATACTTTCTAGTTTCTTATTAAAGTTATTAGTGTATAGATAGATTCTTTCCCCTAATTCAGTTAACATTTTTTATAACCAATGGTTTGAATTCTTCTTCAGGTAAATCGTTTATTTATGTTTCATTTTTTTTTCAGCTGTTTTTTCTTGCTCTTTCAATTGAGAACAGTTCTTCTGCCATTGCATTTTGCTTAACTTTCTCTGTTTCTATGAGTTTAGGTGAAACAGTTACCTATTGTGGTCTTGAAGTGGTGTTCTTATGTGGCAGCATCCCCATGTGTGCCCAGTGCCTTTGGTGAGAGAGCTGGATTTGGTGTGGAAACAAGTCACATCTTTCCTCAGGATGTGCTGGTAGCTATCAGCTTGGTAGGGAGTGGGGCTAGAGATGGAGGAGCTAGAGCTGGCACCAGGTGTGAAGTGGGACTTCCCCTCTGCTCAGTGGCCATGACCACCCTATGAGGGGTGGGGTCTGATCCCAAATTCCTGGAGCAGAAGCCCTGAGGGTCTGGCCTGGGCCAGCTCTGTTCCCTTTGTGCTTCCCCCTTTTTCCACACTGAGAGCCTTGCCCAAGTGGCAGGAAGTGCTGAAGTAAGTTGGGTCCATGGGGTCTCTTGGCCTGTGTTGATTGCAGACAGAGGTTCAAGCTGTCTCTGATATGCTGCCTGTGTAGGTTCCCACAATTGTTTCCCTCACAGCTGATTACTGCCCCCGTCCCTGCTGCCCCTGCCCTGTTGTGGAACCACACTATAGAGCTGTTGTTGTCTATGTGGACTTTCAGTATCAGGAGTTGAGCTATGTTCGAGTGCTGCCATCAGAGATTTGGGCTGCTTGTGATGTTCTGCTTGAGTAAGCATTAACAATGACCCCAGTCCCACCCAGGCTCCGCCCGAAGACCAGGTTGTCTCTGCATCCCAAGATCGAGTTTTCTCCCTGGTCATGACCACCCCAGATTTAATGCCCTGCTGCGACATGGAGTGAGCAGCACTGGTACATTGGCTCATCTCAGGCTGAGGCACGCACTGAGGCGGTTGTGGGAAACCTGGCAGCCACTAGAGCAGAACTCTTTCCACCCTGCCTTGAGGGCAACCCAGCACTCATGTGCTCTTCATGAGCAGTGTTCAGGCTTCCCACTGCTCCCCTGTTAGTCCCAGTGGTCCTCCAACCAGCCAAGGAGTCTTGTCTCTCCTGCACAGGACCCCAGACTTGGGCATCCAATCTGTGGCTCTCACCACTCACTCCCCAGGGCAGGTGTCCACCCATGTATTCTTCCTGTTACTCTGAGTCACCTCCCAGGAACACAGGGCCCAACCCGGTCACGTTCTTCCCATTCTGCCTGACTACCTGTGTATCTTTCTTACAGCCTTGTTTGTACCGGATTCCTTCTGCCAGTTTCCAGTTAGTTTTCAGTGAGAATTGTTCAACATGTAGGTGTATTTTGATGAGTTCATGGGGAGATGTGAGCTCCATGTCCTCTTAATCCACTATCCTGATCCTCCTCCTCTACAGTTCTTTTAAAGACATTTATTAATGCCTATGTGTAGTTCACCTACATATTGGTTCGATTTGTTTCTGAGGTTTTGGTTTTTCGGGTTTTTTGCTGTTGTTTTCAGTCATATGGTCCTATCTCTTCCTACCATTTTTTGGTATATATTAGACATTGTTTTTAAAATATGTAGAGGTTCCAAATGATATCACCAGCCACCAGAATCAATTCATCCTTTCCCTTACTAAGTAGCTAGAATGACTGGGTGGGTTGTGGTTTGGGCCTTATCATCTTAATCCAATCATGGATTGATCAGGGTTGAGCTTGGGTTGCAGTTGTAATGTACCTTTGGTTTACCTTTTTAAATTTTAATTTAATTTAATTTTTTTAACATCTTTATTGGAGTATAATTGCTTTACAATGGTGTGTTAGTTTCTGCTGTTTAACAAAGTGAATCAGCTATACATATACATATATCCCCATATCTCTTCCCTCTTGCATCTCCCTCCCTCCCACCCTCCCTATGCCACCCATCTAGGGGGTCACAAAGCACCAAGCTGATCTCCCTGTGCTATGCAGCTGCTTCCCACTAGATATCAGCTTTACATTTGGTAGTGTATATATATCCATGCCACTCTCTTTGTCCCAGCTTCCCCTTCCCTTTCCTCATGTCTTCAAGTCCATTGTCTAGTAGGTCTGCGTGTTTATTCCTGTCTTGCCCCTAGGTTCTTCATGACTTTTTTTTTTTAGAATCCATATATACGTGTTACCATATGGTATTTGTTTTTCTCTTTCTCACTTACTTCACTCTGTATGACGGACTCTAGGTCCATCCACCTCACTACAAATAACTCAATTTCGTTTCCTTTTATGGCTGAATAATATTCCATTGTATATATGTGCCATATCTTTTTTATCCATTCATCTGTTGATGGACACTTAGGATGCTTCCATGTCCTGGCTATTGTAAATAGAGCTGCAATGAACGTTGTGGTATATGACTCTTTTTCAATTATGGTTTTCTCAGGTATATGCCCAGTAGTTGGATTGCTGGGTCGTATGGTAGTGTTATTTTTAATTTTTTAAAGAACTTCCATACTGTTCTCCATAGTGGCTGTATCAATTTACATTCCCACCAACAGTGCAAGAGGGTTCCCATTTCTCCACACCCTCTCCAGCATTTATTGTTTGCAGATTTTTTGATGACGGCCATTCTGACTGATGTGAGGTGATATCTCATTGTAGTTTGGATTTGCATTTCTCTTATGATTAATGGTGCTGAGCATTCTTTCATGTGTTTGTTGGGAATATGTATATCTTCTTTGGAGAAATGTCTGTTTAGGTTTTCTGCCCATTTTTGGATTGGGTTGTTTGTTTTTTTGATATT